GAAACACTGTAGTCTCATAATTGGAAGTGTAAATTCTGCAGATTACATCATTGTCCAGTATTGTACTGTCAGTACAAAAACTTGAGGCTACAGCAGCACTTCTTCTTCGTCGTCTTGTCTGATGCACTCAACCAAGAGTTCTAACCACGACCTCGCCCCTCCCCACCCCCCAACCATTCGAATTTCCGTAGGAGGGAATTATTTTAATGATATTCTAATGGGCCGCTTTGTGATATCACAAAACCCGGAAAACAAACGATGTAGTCCAAACGAGTCGTTTGTTGTAGTTCTTGAAAAGGGATTTTTAAAAAACAAAATATCTCCCTTTGGAGTGGACTTTGAGATTTGTAAGTTTGAAGATCTTTTTTTATGCCCAAACATACACACTACACACTGACGAAAATTCAAAACGTGAAAAAGCATATTAGGACCCCTTTAAAATCCGCGGCGTCTTAAAAAGTATTAAAAGTTGATAAATCAATTTAGAGAAAATTAGGGCGGCGCTATCAATATGTGGGGTATTTTGAATGAGCGCTCGCAGTCGCAGTTCACTTTGGATTTCGCGATCGCGCGCGCACTGTGTAAAGGGAGCACATCTTGCGATAAAAGATATTTGTCAATGAGCTCGGGATCTGTTGAGGAGCAAATCCTCCAACATCTTGTCAATTATCTCTCCTTACTTTTGACCCGTGATCAGTCAAATCTGACTTCTGCAGCTCGTGTTGGATGCAGGGTTGTTGTTGTTTTTTTCCACGAAATTGGGCTGCTTTTAAACTGTTGCCATGGGTTGATTTTCCCCAGCGGGTTAAAGGTTTGAAATATTGCATAAATTACATTTGGTTGAAATGCTTGTACTGAAACATTTAGCATTGTACCTGTAATAAAACTGTGCTAAATATTTGGGCCACACTAGTAGGAAGCATTTGAGCTGTGTTTATGATAAATGTGCATAACAGTGACTGTAAAATATTTATTTTAGGGATGGAAATGACATTTTTATATTTGGGACATGGTAAATGCGCTACTTTGGGCTGTTTTTTTTTTACTGGCATGGGCTTGGGATGCACAATTAAAATGATGTAATAGTTGTGATCAATATTTGACCTTCCATGATCATTCAGACTTGATCCGGTGCAGTACTGACACTCTGTCAAGTCTGCATCAAATCAAGCACTCCGTAATCACAGGTAAACTGTCTGATCAGTCAGATGTTTGTCATGAGAAGTGTTCCACAAAACAGCTATGGTTTGCAGACGGGTATAAGAGTTGATGTGACAAATACATCTTTTGAATATACTGCGTGAACTCAATAAGAATTTGTCAGTTTTGTTTATTAGTCTAATTCTTGTTTCTTGGGTTGCATTGGTTAGTCACTCAATTTATTCTCTTGTGCTTCATTCCCCTCTTCTGAATTATGTTGTATTAATAAGAAGTTATCATAAAGTAAGTCTATCTTACAATCAATATATAGTAAATGTAATTTAAAGTGTCGCTGATGTAACCGGTTAAAACTTGGAGTGGCGATGAGGTCTTAAAATGTATGGAAGGAGTCTTAAAAAAGGTCTTAAAAGGTATTAAATTTAACTCCATGATTCCTGTATATACCCTGAAATGGTAACAGTTCCTGACAACAGTGTGCTAGACACAATTTTGGTGGCTTTGGAAAGAAGACCCTTTGGGCTTTACTATCCATCATCCAGAGTTGATAATGCTCAAAAAGATAAAAAGTTATAGACACTGAAGTGCCTTGAAAAATTTTTTACCACACTGAATTTTTTAAAATTTCATATAAAAATGCATACAATCAGACCTGGAGCAATCCAGAAAAGTAATGGGTTGAAAGTCACATGTCTCATGAGATTATATTTCAAACCTGAAGAAGATACCATGAAAAATGAGATTCCTGCAACAATTTGTCTGAGACAATGTCTAGTCCCCCCCGTTTGAGAAAAAAAAAATTCTGAGACAAATATTAAAAGATAACTGCCATAATATTAAAAGACAATATCTCAATTTGCATTGAACTTTCAGTGTCGTAACTTTGCAGATATTGTTTATGCTCAAACAGCAACATTACACACTAACTAAAGTTAAAAAAGTGAAATCACAATCAACCACCCCTTTAACTGACTTGGTGTTATGCAGTGATAATTGAGTGTTCCCTGAATTTTTTTTGAGCAGTGTATTACAATTCTAAATAACTAACTTCTATTTCTTTTCATTTTAAAATATACTTTATTCCAGTGATGCCAAAATCTTCATTGCCATATGATCCTTCAGAAAGCATTATAATATTTTCTGATTATACACAACTTCCGTTTTCTAAGCTGCATGAATGACTTGCTCAGAAATATGCATGATTATGAAATCACAACCATGATCTGAGTGTTCCCTGAATTTTTTTTGAGCAGTGTATTACAATTCTAAATAACTAACTTCTATTTCTTTTCATTTTAAAATATACTTTATTCCAGTGATGCCAAAATCTTCATTGCCATATGATCCTTCAGAAAGCATTATAATATTTTCTGAGTATACACAACTTCCGTTTTCTAAGCTGCATGAATGACTTGCTCAGAAATATGCATGATTATGAAATCACAACCATGATTCCATTAACATATACATCACATGTATTCAGTATTAATCTTTAGAAGTCTTGGTCAATAAGTCTTGCACGGCAGTTACAGTGAGTCCATTAAACACTGTATTCCATTATGCAAGAATGTTGAAAGGGCTTTTGAGACAGTCTATGCACAAATTGGTTTGCTGCTGTGATGACAGTGCAGTCATTACGCATCCATTAGCAGGAAAATAAACATGCTTTGTTTTGGCGGTGTGTGTATGGTGAACTGGATGTGGTGTAAGAGTAAATTAGGATGGAGAGAGAGGCCATGCTCTGTCAGATTGGGAGGGGGTGTCATTGTTATGAGGTTACACTTCAGACACTCTATTACTGTGACATTAAGGAACAGCGAGCAGCTTGGACCCCCTAACACACGCAGTTATTGCTGCAATGTGCACACCAACAGAGCCAAACATAAAATTGATTTTCACTCAGGTTGGAGACCAATATGTTGTGTGTTGACTAAAGCAAGAGGAACCCATTAGAAAGGGTCTAATTTCACAATTAGAGTGCTGATATAGACACTAGCAATAGTTCTCCACTGGACTCAACTTCAACTAGACACAGATTAAAGTCAACCTGAAATGCCATTTGCTAACCATTTTACTTCCAGAATGTGATATATTTTAGAATGAAGCGATTGAAATGACAAAAATAAAGGGTGTGACTTGATTGTATCCTTCTATGATGATTCTATTACAATTATTTTATTAATTTATTTTTAGGGGGGGTATAAAGTAAAAATGTCAGGGTGGTACAATGTAATGAAAAGTCCTATTAAAATGTTAAATTCTTGAAAAGACAATGTTATTAAGTAGTTTGGTTCTTATCTTTTAGTATTATTTCTTTATGATTTAATAACAGTTCCTATAACAAAACTGTTTCGATATTTATAATCTATTTAAAAGTCTTACGTCCACCAAATTAAAGTCATGTGAGGTGACCAGAAATGATGCAACCAACGCGCAGAAAACAAACAAAAACAAGAAATTACACAAAAGAAGAACATGCAGACCCTCATGACTATGTGTCAAAGTCAATGAATTTCTTAAAATATCAGATTTGACCTTTTCATTACAAGGCTAGGTTAGTTCAGGTTGTACAATGTCATGCGTTATGACTCTCCAAAAACGTAGTTCATGTACAATTAATGATATTTGAAAAAAATATTTTTCTCTCCAAATATCAAGAATTATATAGGACTACTATCGTCAAACTGCCACTTTTGAGGAGACTTTTTATGCAGGACAAGGAGCTGTTTATATGTATCCATATTGGTGGTCTCTAGATTGGCCTAGAGTCCGTGGGGTGTCTGGGTCTGTAAAATGTTTAAACCCCTGCTTTACAACATGTGGTCTGGGGTGCTTCTATTAGATCACCTCGGACCCTGATAGGTTCTTCTCCTGTCTGATAAAGATGATAGATGTAGATGATATTGCCCCTGAAATCCACCTGGGGTCAATTATACTGGCAGGTGGTGCTGATGATGTGGAGACTGATAGTATTCATAAAGTCCACAAATAGCAATTGAATTCCACAGTGTTCCTATAACCTCCGAGTGTCCATGTGCATCTCATTTACAGGCATCTCCCATAGAGGCTTGATATTCACTTTATTCCAGTATGAATCCCCCAGATCACTATAGCAGCGGTTCTCAAACTTTTCCATGCTAAGACCTGCCTAGGGAGGTATCATAAAAGGTATAATCCATCACTTTTAGACATTTTAGAGTGAAATATGAATTTGAAATACATTTTCTCACTATCATACTATTACACTGGATAGGCCTTCTTATCAGTTTCATTACTGTAAGGCAGATAAACAGAATAAGGATCTGGTGAAGGAGTCTTTTTGAATGATTCATTAAAAGAACAGCTTCGTAAGAGCAGTTTGTCCATAAATTGGACTACATTGGTCACGTTGTGTGTTAATTTTTTGCATGCAGCCCTCGAGGAGTTCTTGTGGTGTGTAACATGAGAAAAATGTATGATTAAAGGTACGCCTACCAACAAACATTTGAGAACTCTCTATATTTCATATTTGGACACGAACATCACCATTCTTTCCACAGCCAATTTATTTCTACTCCAATCCACAGTTTGAAAAGTGCTGCAAATACTCTTAGTAATCCACTCTACCAAGAGTTGCCACTCTTCAAAAATGTCACACAGAACAAAACACGTCATACAGTATGGAATGTCATGGTGATAACAGAAGTCACTTTTGATACGTGCTAAATGACAAGATACCAAATAACAAGACAGCTGTCACTATGAGTGTATGTCTATATCTTATATAGTGTACTCATGAATTATTTATATTGCCATTGGCGAGAAGCTCTAGAAGATAAACCTGCCCATTAAATCATACTCACAGATGTGTTGTGCAGCTGGAGTTGGGTGTCGTGGGGTCCGTCAGATGTAGTGTAACAGGAGGAGAATGCTGGGCTGACAGGAGGAAGCCAACCGATAGGATACACAGACTCAAAACAGTACCTGTACAGAAAGAATCAAAAATCCATATGTATAAAAACAAGATATATTTTGGCATATCTCAAAATGTTCAGAATAGCATTTCAAATAACGAAAAAGTAGTGGAAACTTGGGCAAGCTATCAGACAGGGAAGTTGCAACAAGGATTATATTTGTCTAACCAGTTTTTGAGTCCAAGGTACAATTTAAGTATATCTTTCGCATAGTGGTAATATGTTTTTGCTTTAATTTGAAACTATTTTATTACAATATCTGTTGGACACATTTGAACAACTGTTTCATGTTTGTATATTATTACAAACATATGAACTAGCCCCAGTCTCTCTTAACTAGTGAGTTAAAAAGGCACCCAAATGTTACCCAGAATACATTTTGAATGTGCTGGAATATATTCTGCTTCTTCAAGTATGTAAGAACCTTACCAAAGATGCTTCCCAACGTAAGTCTGCGTCTGCCCACCCTTTCAACCAACCAAACGCCCAGCAAAGTAAACAGAAAATTTGTGAACGCTGTTACAGTCACTAGCCAGATGGCCAACTTGTCATCACGTACTCCAGACATCTGCAGAATGGTGGCGCTGTAGTACCTATAAACAGAGTGCAAAGGAAACATATATATATATATATATATATTATATAACTTCCTGGTGCTTTTCAAGTCCTTTTTTGTAGGTTACATGTCAGGTTACTTTTTAAAGCAAGAATACAACCACATTGCATTCTCGGATTATTCCTTACAAATAATAAGAGCATGTTAGTATGTATTTTTGGACATAGCCAGACACTTTAGTTACTGCTTCATCTCTGACTGAGCCATCCAATCAGTGCTACTTCGCCCACATATCATCCAATGAGACTGTGGCCTTGCAACTCAACTCTTTCTGGCTGATGTCATCTCAACTTTTTCAATTAAAACTGCCTCCGTTTTGTATCAAGCATACTTACAACTAATTGCCTTGCATTGTGATTTACAGGGCTTTGGATGCATCAAATAATCATTTTCTGTGGGGAGCGAGCAGGGATCAAAATGATTTTTTTTTCACTCTAGCTATTAATCGTAAATCAGCAGGAGTTGTGCTTTAAATCCTTCTTTACTATTAAAAACATACAATATACTGTCATTCTATACAGTAATTAAGCATGTACTCAGAAACACAGACTCACACTCGTCTGTGACATCAGAACTTGAACGCTGCATAATGGATGTGAGGTTAAGCGAGAGAGCGACACTCGAGCAAAAGTGTTTTTCTCCACACAAAGGAGTGAATCAGGAAAACACTCATTAACCCAAAGTAAAATGCCATTCTTGCTCTCTCTCTCTCTCTCTCTCTCTCTCGCTCGCTCTCTCTCACATTCATAAGGGATTTGCATTATTGAATGCCGGCTTATACAGAATTAACTCATCCAAGGATTAAAATTCTTTAACTTACTCACCTTCATGTCATTCCAAACTTACATGATTTTCTTTCAGAATTTTCACCCTGCTCTTTTGCATATAACACAAAGTGAATGTTGACCAGTGGGCTGGTCAAGCTCCAAAAAATAGTCAGTGATTGCAAATTAGTTTTGATCTCAATCATTCATGAGATGTCAAATTCTAATATGTGCATATTTAAATCACATTAATGAGATTTGACAGCAACAGTGGATGGGGAATTTGTGATGGGAAAAAGTGAATATCAAATTCACACATATACATTTCAATCTAATTTTCAAGACTCAGAATATATTGTACAAGTTATGGGCTACTGATGGGATTCTTTTTTGGTGTTTTTTTTTGTCCTGCATAGTTCAGCTTGACAGCTTTTACCTCAATTTACTTTTACTGTAAGGGGAAAATTTGGACAACAATGATGTGTTTAAAGACCGAAACATACTCTGTGCAAGTATGGATCAGCTGGATTTCATAGGTCACTGGCTGCATCCGAAATCTGATACTTTAATATTATATAGAAGGTGAAAATAAGTTTGTGACAAGAGTAGTATGATCAAATACACAGTGTTCACAAAACAGTTGGTGAAAAGTACCTGGATGACTTACAACTTCCAGCTTCTGACATGATTCTGATGTGCACATGTGATGGACATTTTACTACAAGTTTTTACTACAAATTTTTTTTGCTGCAAATAAAAGTAATGTTGCAATTCACTTTGTAACTGGTTCATGGCTTATAATGCTTTAACAAAGACTTTTTAAAATCTCTTTGGGGAAATGAATGGAAAAACACTTCTGAAACCAGCTAACTTAATACAGTATATCGTGCCTGGGTTTCATTTCAGACATCTGGACAATTTATTGTTACCTGATCCATTTATTTAACGCACAAATTAAATTAAGGATTAATGCAAGAATGCATGCTAAGTATGTACAACAAAACCGAATACACTGGATACAGCTGATGAATTCCACAGAAATCGTGTGGTTTTTCAGTACAAGTAATCTCAGTGGAAAGTCTGGATGTCCAGTGTTACTTCTGCTAAAGAGAATTTAACAAGAGATACAGAGATGTTGTGATAAAAAAAGAAAAGAAACAATGCTTTCAATCTACCCGCTGAGACACTCTCTCAGTGTGTAAAAAGGACACGCTCTGCTCGGAGAGTGCTGATAAGAAGAGCTGCTGTGAAATCACACATTTGGGGTCTCTATTGTTTGGTCTACTGTGGCAGTTTTAAACTAGAAACAATGTTTAATTAGGCAGAAATCCAGGACAGACGGTGTCTGTGTTCGAATTCAACAAAGAGACTTAAAAACGGCAGTGGTTTCCTGTAGGAATGGTTACTAAACATTGCTTTTTATATTTTGTGACAGCTGAAATCTGACATGTGAAGTGTGAAAAAGTGAATGAGTACTCGGTTTTCTATGTTTAGTTGCCCCAACAAATATAACCATATCTGCCATAACCAACACGTACTAAAGTAAAACAGTATGAAAAATTGCATCCGGTGTGTAAGTGGTTCTAAGTAGCATTTGGCATGCTTATTAGCATGAAAAAGGTGGTTCGGTCGTCTTGTTTAAGCTGGTCTCCCAGTTTGGTCATGTTGACAGTTACCTCAAACCCCTTCAAAACCAGCAATATAGACGAGCCTGCAAGTTTTTCTTGTCTCGCTTGTGTTATCACCAGTGCTGAGTAGTAACTGTGTGATTACATGTAATCTGGATTACATAACCAGACTCCAAAAATTAAGTACTTGTAATTAGAGTATTACATTTTAAAATGCTCATGATCAGATTACAGTTACTTTTTTATGGGTTACATAATTACAAATTGTTCACACAATGGCAGTAAATTATAATTGATTGATTCTGCCTTATTCCTTTTATTTCTTTTTTACATTTTTCTCTCTAAACATCCTGTAGTGTCATTGCATTTAGCTTTGACTGCAGGTAAAATAAAATATTTTTATTTTTAGTGTTCAAGTATTAAAATAATTTTTTTTTTTTTTTTTTTTAATGATTTTATTTATTATTAGCTTCTTATCAACTCACAAACCCACTACAGGTCTTATGTTAAGCCAAGTTTGGGAAACCCTGGTGTAATGTAAGGATTACGGCATTGCATGATGTTGATATATTAAAAAATAAATAAATAAATTTTATATATTTTCTTTCTCTTTGCCTTTTTATATAAATATGGTATGTTTAAACGTAAGTTTAAAACAAGTTAGATTAAAAGTAATCTAAAAAGTAGTCTGAATACATTACCTAAAATTAGTAACCTAGATTACATTACTAACTACAATTTTCATCATGTCATTTATAACCAGCTCTGGTTATCACATTTCTAAACCATTTACCATATGAATCTTGTGAAAACCAGTCACGTTTCACATCAAACAAACAAACAAACACCCACACTGACAAAAACATTGCTTTCAATTGTTCAAAATGCTTTTTCCTGCATAATGCATTGTTAAAAAGAGAAAGAAAAAATTATATTTTGACCCCCAGCCAGCATCTATCAGATTGAGAAATTACATCGCTCTAAATATTTAGCCATTCAACACATGAATCAGCTGTGAGACATTGAGCATTTAACCAACTTATTAAAAAAAAGGTCATTTTAGCAGCTAATGCAAATTTAAACTGAATTAATTCCCACTTTCATGAAGACTGGACTGCCGTTGAGCTTTACGAAGACTTTCACACATCCATTGTTTGTGCCTGCAGACCCAGGCCTCTCAGAGGAGAGTATCACGCTTGCCTAGCTCTCTGTTCACAGTATTCCCTTGTGTGTACGTGTTTAAAAGTGCTCTGTCTTAATCCTTAAAAGCATCCTGGCTCCATTCCATTGAGTAGATGAAAACTGGAAGCCTTTGGTTGCCCTCATCAAGGGTCTTGGAAAAAAAAAACTAATTCCCTAATTGTCTCTTCTATTGGCCACAAACATGCTGGATAAAACCCCTGATAAAAGAAGAAACAGGGGGTACAGTATCATAGTTCAATGATAGAGTGATGCGGTATTGTTTGTGGTAAAAGTGGTGTCAAAGGTCAGGAAATGAGAAGAATGAAGCCTAAGCCACTGATGAGTGTTCACTACAGGGGTAGAAAATAGATGTGTCTTATTCCTTGCACACCATGGCAATTGCTTTCTTTCCCTGTTTCATAATACAGCGGTTCTGGCAGTGGGTCAGCGACCCCTGTGGATTTCTTCAGATAATCTCAGCTGCAGATCTACAGGTCTTCAAGCGGCTAACACCACATTCTGCCACTGAATAATGTTAGTATCAATAAATGCAAGATAAGGACACCAAATATCATATGCATTTGTACCCTGTATTTAAATTACAAGCAAAATTGTAAAAAAGTTATTTAGCTCTGCCCATTCCCATAAAGCACCATGAACGACATAATAAAGTTGGTTTACCTACTATAAAAACATTGATCACAAATCATGCTCATTTCAACAAGATCAGTCCAACATGACCAGCTAAATTACCAGCTGTCTAGTTATCAACCAAAATAGAAAACCGTTTCTTGACTTTTATAGCTTACGTAAGCTGGATTGTTGATGCCGATAGTTAAAATATTCTCAGTGAAGCTGAAAAATAGAAAAACAAGACAGATTGACCTTCAGAATTATGCAAGCACTAACGCAGTCATGGCTTTGAGTTATCTACAGTGCTGTTAACCTTCCTACAAAGGCCTCGGCACACAAATGACCACGAATGAAAGATTTCGTTAAACACAAAATGCCAAAAGCTGTGGACTCATGCCAAGGTGTGAGATGGATTCTCTGAAAATAGAAACTGTTTGAAGAGCACTCGTACATAACCCTGAATGGCAAATTCACCCCAGACTTCTCGATGTGAGTCAAGGAATCAACAGAGATGTCAGATGGCGAGCAAGGGATGGGGGAAGGGCTCTGATGGGGATAGAAGAGGTAATTGCTGAGTGTTTGGATGAGATAAAGACTGGTGTGGTCGATGTCTAGACTGGATCTCATTTGAAAGGGCCACGTCAAGAGGATTCACAATTTTTTGATCTTTTGAGAAAAATCTTGACTCGCTAGGAAAACCTACAGTCACTTTTAGAACTCAAGACTTCTTGTTGCAGATCTGAAACTAAGCTGGAACATGGACATTTTTC